TGTTATGTAAAAACTTTCTTAAAATTGGAAAACTTTCTCTGCAACTTCGATGGCCTAAATTAATTATAGGACTATAATTACTTGCTTTAGTTTTTCTCAAGTTTCTACCAAAGTGCCAACCTTTGAACATAATATGCTCATAACATAACATCACGCCTTTTATCCCCGAGGGAGTAAGCAGAGGTGCACATTACGGCACTTAATGCCACTGTACAATGTAACACCCACTTTTCACTATTTATGTAATGAGTTCCATGTAATAGGGGGTGAGCCTATTGCCATTTACCGGGCACAATTTCAGACTCCGTGCTACCACAGACATTAAAAAAAAATACTTTGTAGTACTTTGTACGACCAGGGAATCGAACCCACTGTGACTAATCGGTAGTCACGCACCTATGCTCTATCTATATCTTGAGGCCTCTGTAGTCCGGGGGCTTCCAATTCGACAGATGTCGCTCTATTCCGACAGATGTCGCTACTGAACTGTAAACAACGAATCCTCTATACTACGGTGTCACAACCAATTGGTATAGTAATTGCATTGTATATACTTACGGTGGCACATCAAGCTCCACAGAACCAATTTATCATGACCCTGCGTTGTATGCTCGTTATGTACATTCAACGATCAGCGTATACTGGTTATGTTTAACTTGATTTGTTATAAGTTGTCAAAGTATTGATCGTGACATGCGCAGTGCAGCTAGACTGTTCTAGACTAGACTTCAACTTGTGTACTCAGTGCGCCGCGCTCCGTCTGCCGGGCAGGACGTGTCGCTCTTTCGCGGCACCCCGCGGTGCTAGGGCTCCGCCCTCGTCTTCGAGGCTCCAGAGCTGATATAACAGGTTTGTATTTTTATTAATTTTTTTTTGTCATTCATCACTCATTTTCATTAAGATTTCTTTGTAGCTTTTTGAACATGATTATCTTAATATAAAAATTAACAATAAGATAATTTAATAGTAAAACAATTCAATCACTTTTGGGGTAAATCTGTTCTTTGCTATAAGTCAAGGGGTAGCGGGGTAAGGGTGAAGGGGTTGTATTCATTTGGGCGTGGTCGATCGATCGATAAAATTACACACACAAAGCAGTAGCTTCGTGGCATCATAGCAGTTTCTAATTTTATAAATAAATGAAAGGTAAATGAAAGGTGAACGTATGTATCTAATTGGTAAGGGCCAAGGGACAAGGGACAAGGGACAAGACAAGGGACTAGGGACAAGGGACAAGGGACAAGACAAGGGACGAGGGACAAGGGACAAGACAAGGGACAAGACAAGGGACGAGGGACAAGGGACAAGATAAGGGACAAGGGACAAGGGACGAGGGACAAGGGACAAGACAAGGGACAAGGGACAAGGGACAAGGGACAAGGGACAAGGGACAAGGGACAAGGGACAAGGGACAAGGGACAAGGGACAAGGGACAAGGGACAAGGGACAAGGGACAAGACAAGGGACGAGGGACAAGGGACAAGATAAGGGACAAGGGACAAGGGACGAGGGACAAGGGACAAGACAAGGGACAAGGGACAAGGGACAAGGGACAAGGGACAAGGGACAAGGGACAAGGGACAAGGGACAAGGGACAAGGACAAGGGATAAGGGACAAGGGACAAGGGACTAGGGACAAGGGACAAGGGACAAGGGACAAGGGACAAGGGACAAGGGACAAGGGACAAGGGACAAGGGACAAGGGACAAGGGACAACGGACAACGGACAACGGACAACGGACAAGGGACAAGACTAAAATTTTTCCTCGCCTTGTAAACCTTCCCTGGACTTCCACGAGCATTCGAAGACCAAAACCTAATTGGTTCAGCCGTTCTAGAGTTGTAGCGAGACTAACGAATGGAAGTTCATATTTATTTATATAGATCATTGGGATAATACGCAACTGAGCTCTATTTCCAGATCTTCGTATTAGCATTTATACTGTGGTATTAGTCAGTCCGTACAGTCAGTATGCAAACTTACATAACATAACATCACGCCTTTTTATCCCCGAAGAGGTAGGCAGAGGTGCACATTACGGCACTTAATGCCACTGTACAATGTAACACCCACTTTTCACTATTTATGTTATGAGTCCTATGCAATAGGGGGTGAGCCTATTGCCATATAGGTACCTGGCACAATTCCAGACTCCGTGCTACCACTGAGATTTTTGAAAAATCCCAGTAATACTTTGCCCGACCCGGGAATCGACGCCTTGCCCGGCAGTCACACTTGCGACCACTCGGCCAACGAGGCAGTATGCAAACTTCTCTTCATTTAATCATTTTAATTTCACAGATTCCACATCATAAATCGAAACACGTCCACTGCTGAAAAGAAGTCCGGCTGGAGTACATCCGTCGTGGTACATAAAAAAGCCTACAGATCCCTGAACAAAAGTCTCTCTTAAGAGGGATATTGTTACAATCCCTGATCGACGCTTCGTAGTTAATTTGAGGGTCATACAAAGCTACGAAAACTAAAGATCTGTTGCAGTTTTTCTCTCGGTATGTGGTTGATTTTTAAAGACAAAAAGTCTTTGGTCTCAGTTCTGAATATAATAGACATTTATTTAACCGTCTGCGGCTGACGTGTAGTCCCACAGACACCGCGAAATACAAAATCACGTGTTATACCGTCATTTTTCAAATACGAGCATCACTGCTGCGAGTACCTTACTGTATAGTGCTCGCTATACTTTAATTCTACAAAAATATTTGCTGTTGAAATGGTGTCTGGTATAATATACACCTCAGTTGAATTGTAACAATTTAACCACGTCAGTTGCAGAGGGTTAAAACAATAATACTCAACAGGCAACAACAACCAGGGCGTCTAATACTAAACAAAAACCTTTTGCAGTACGGATTGGTCATAATCCCAGCACTTGGCAGTCGACTTGAGGGTCATAGTCCAGGTCCAGAAAATTGATGATTACTGCTGCCAATCTTTTGGTAAGTAGTAGAAGTTGTAGGACATTTATTGAACATTTATTTGAAACAAAAAACGAAAAAGAAATTGCATATTTTTAACATAACATAACATCACGCCTTTTATCCCCGAAGGGGTAGGCAGAGGTGCACATTATACCACTGTACAATGTAACACGCACTTTTCACTATTTATGTTATGAGTCCCATGTAATAGGCTCACCCTATTGCCATATACCGGGCACAATTCCAGACTCCGTGCTACTATTGAGAATTTTTTAAAAACCCAGTAATACTTTGCCCGACCCGGGAATCGAACCCGAAACCCCCTGCCCGGCAGTCGCACTTGCGACCACTCGGCCAGGGAGGCAGTCATATTTTTTATATTTTTTATTAACTAAAAATCGCGGGCTGCTCACGTGAATATACTGAGAAAAGCTCTACTAGTTTCTAATCTTAGAGGGGGTTCTTTCTCATGAGCAGCGTGCGCGGTAACGGCCATGTCGCCCAGCCTACTGCAGTATAATCACGTAAGTAACCCGCGATTTTTGGTTAATTTATGTCTCACGATAGTTAATATAAAAATGTATATTTTTGTACACCTATTTAATGATAATAATTGTTCACTAGGTGTCCGATGTCTGGCGACGTCTGATGCTGCAAGATCTTTTACCAAGCGCATTGGACAACCACATAGCAGCTGACATGAAGGTACTAGAGCAAAAATGTAATTAATTATGTCATACACAGTGAAATCTATTTCGTTTTCATCTCGAAGTAAAATGGTTCAGTCTCGATAATGGTAATACAATAATTTTACAAAGAAATTAAATGTTTAAAACAAAAAATAACTGATGAACCATTGCTAAAAGCGCATACGAACTCATAGTATTTTTAAGCAAAATAATAAATAATAAAATTTATTAAAAACAACATAGAACACATTTAGAATTACAGTTCGCTCAGATTTTATAGTAATAAAAAGTCTTAATAATAACACTCGTAATAGTTTACTTCTAATCTAGTCTTTTACAATATACATGCGAGGAAATAACGTTCTAAGTATATATAGGGACTAGCTGTGCCCGCGACTTCGTCCGCGTGGAATTTAACAAAAAAATCAATTCGTTTATTTGTTACTAGCTGTGCCCGCGACTTCGTCCGCGTGGAATTTAACAAAAAAATCAATTCGTTTATTTGTTATTTTTTTATTTTAGTTATCATTTATTTTCAGTTTTTGTATTAGCTTTATTGAAAAATTTCTTTATATACAATATTTGGTGTACGATTTTCTTGGGCTAAAACAACAACGCTACTGGCATTCCTCGCACGTGAACATGCCACGTATAGTTGCCCATGGGTAAAGCAACCTTTTGTTAAATCTATACCAGCTTTACTTAACGTTTGTCCTTGGGACTTGTTGATTGTCATAGCAAAACTGACATTGATCGGGAATTGCAATCTTTTGAATTCAAATGGCAAATTTGATGGTATTATAGGAATCCGTGGTATAAATACTATTTCACCTCTGCCGCATCCGGATATTATACGACCTTCTATAACGTTTCTTTGCAACGACACTACTCGCAACCTAGTACCATTGCAAAGTTTCGGCGGATTTAAATTACGCAATAGCATGATGGGCACGCCAACTTTAAGTTCTAGTTTGTGGGAGGGTAGACCAGGCACAATTATACTGTTTAAAAATTCTGTTGGGTAATTAACCACTTCATCCGGATTGCAAACTGTATTGATGGAAAGATATGTTTGTGATTCAGTCCCTCTCGACTCACACAAAGCGATAGAAGGCATTGGATGATTTTTTCCCTTCAAAAAGTCACTAATTTATTTTTTTATTTATTTATTTATTACAGTCACAACGGTTGAAAAGAAAAACCAATTAAAGTAACTGGACACATTAATAAAATAAACGAGGAAATAATAAAACTAGAACAAAACATACACAACGAACCAGAAGAGTAAATCTTATTTAACTCGTCGAGTACCGGTTTTGTAGACACAATTATAGAACAATAGGTTGCGGTCACCGGTGACCGCTTGGTGTTTGACAGTTTAAAAAATGGTAGCATTCATAAGTAATTCCTCTCGCAGTACTTCAGGCATTCCGATAAAATTTCCTTCCATCCGTCCGCAAACAGATCACTAGTTGGATTGGAATCCAAGAGACGCGAGAGAGCGCGGCCAGAGTGCGAGGAATCGGTACTTTAGCACTTGCTACTGTACGACATGAGGGTACGGCACTAAAAGATACTAATGTTGATATTTCCAGATGCGACTCCACCTGGCTGAGGCAACCACTTGGCTGGGAAGATCTGCAACATACAGCCTGATTTATAACCTCCACGGGGTGTAAGTGGCTCCCATCACGCCGAAGTCAACCTCACCTGCTCGCGGTACACCCTGCTAAACCCACTAACGAGGCTCTGGCGTCCCTCCCCATATGAGAACGTATAAAATCTCATCTGGGGATCACGTATAAAGCGATTATTTACTATATACCTAAAGCTATATTATAAAACTTTTAATGAAAATTTTGTTCAATGAATTAACAATGGTTATACATTCTAATCTTAGATTTTAAGGTTTAAATATAAGTATTTAGAACAGGGGCGGATTCAAACGGGGGGATCAACGGATTGTAGAGTCGGTTGATCTCCTCCTTTCTTTTTTTTTTAGTTTTTGAGTCCGCACCTGTATCTCTTCCCTCAAAACATTTAATAACATACATAGTATCTGCTAATATATTTCTTAATTACTCAAAAATAATAGCAATAAGGCGTCTTTGAATATTTTTGTGTAATCTTTAGGACAAGACAAAAAACAAAAAAAAAACAAAAAAAACAAATAAAATAACAAAAAAAAAACAAATAACAAACAAAAAAACCAAAAAAAGGAGTTTTGTCACTAGCAGTAGTAAAAAAAACAGATAAAAATTAAAAAAAAAACCAAAAGATCATAAAAAGTAACAAAAAAAGATTTTTTGTCAGTAGCAGTAGTTGTAGTCTTGTTCAATAAAGTAGTGAGTAGAGTAGAAGTAGTGAAATCGTGTTTTATTTCATAAAATTACCCTTGAGACTCTTTTTTTTAAGGGGGGAAAATCATCGAATGACTGCTCCCGCCTGGGTGAGGCGGGAGGGAGTGTCAGACTCTTACTGACTAAAAACCACCCCGTTCCTTCTCCTGCACGTCGAGCCGGAGCCCCGGTAACCCATTAGGTTCTCCGCGACTCCTAATTACCTTTGAGACTTACCCTTTTCTTTTTTATTATTGTTTTATTATAAATAATAAAACATATTTTTGTGTTGAACAGTTTCAATGAGCCCTATTCTACCAATCAACCACTTTCGTTTGATATCCATAATGGAGATAGTTGTGGAACAAATTAGATTATATTGTATTGTCATCAAGATTAACTCGGTGGTCACCGGAGACCGCTCGGTGTTTGACAGTTTAAGAGTGTGTACCAACTATCTGTGGGCTTACTCTCAAATCCAATTCCGCTCGATCGACATTGATGTTGTGAAATTTCCTACTCTTGAGTTTCAACACTAGCGCCCATTGCATCCGTATTTCGTGGATATTTAATGAACTAAATGGTATTGAGTTTGTTTTTATATTCCGTACTCTGGATGCTATTTTAACAGCTACGATTGTGTTTTTATAATAACTATCGTGAGACGAGTACAAACGACAAGTAATATGAATATACTGAGAAAAGCTCTACTAGTTTCGAACCACAGAGGGGTTCTTCCTCATGACGCTGCTCATGACGCATATTCACGTGAGTTACCCGCGTTTTTACTTAAGCTACAAATGTGGTTGTATAGTTTTGACATTAAATAATTATTGAGTTTTCATTGGTTTGCGATTGCATGGACATTGAGATTGGTTTCAAGAGTCTGAAGGCAGATCGATTTGTCGCCAGGAAGGGGGTGAAATTAGAATTTTTGACCCAAACATACGGGTAAATAAAACTGTTAAATAATAATACCAACATAATGTCAACGTCATCTTTAAATCCCCGAACTGCACTTATTACAAAGTACCACCAGAATAGAGGAACAAATTTGAAAAGAAGAAAAATTTGCAATCAGCGCCATCTGTTGGTAATATCTGCTGTGTGAACTACATTTACAGAATTTTTTTGTAGTTTTAATCTACATACCTAGGTACCTACCTATGAATTAAAGTGATAAAAGTGAAAGAAAGACATAACATAACTTCACGCCATTTATCCCCGAAGGGGTAGGCAGAGGTGCACATTATGCCACTGTATAATGTAACACCCACTTTTCATTATTTATGTTATGAGTCCCATGTAATAGGGGGTGAGCCTATTGCCATATTCCGGGCTATTATTGGCACAATTCCACACTCCGCACTACTACTAAGAGTTTTTTTAATCCAGTGATACTTGCCCGACTCGGCAGCCGAAGTTATGACCACTCGGCCAATGGCATCATTGTCATAGTCATAAAAGAAAGAGAACACAATCAGTATATCTTTTACCTAGGTCAATTGTTAAAAAGCGTAACCTGTCCATATTTAGTACACATGCTTTTTATCTGTCCATAGATGGCAGCACTTATCTTTTAGTTGAACTTTGTTTATGTTATTGTCTTATTCTCATAGAATGGAATGAAATATATACTTTATCTAAGTTATAGTCTTATCATATATTAACATCAGTTATGGTACAAGTCCCATATAATAGAGAGTGAGATTAATGCTACATTCCGGGAACATTTGCCAAACATTATTATTAATATTTCCTTTATTTATTTTTATACTTGATTATTATTGATAAGATACTATTAAATACTCCTACATCTATCTTATAATATATTCAATAAATTAATCAAGATCTTTCTCTCAAGATCATTCCTGACACACTCCACTAGACGAAGGTAGACATCTTCTATTTTATTACTACAAAAGATATGTACTGGCTTTATCTTCTTCAGCTTTAACGAGCATCCCGTCAAATGAAAAGCAAAAACCAAAAACAACAAGCAACGCAGCTACATAAACTTCTCACACTGAGCACTAGATGACGCTATACTTAAAAAAGAATTATTTTACAGTCCCGTCAAAAAAGTTTAAACAATTTTTTTATGCTTATTTACAACCCTATCAGGTGTCTAGCACTTGAGGAAAAGACTAGGTAGTGTGGAATTCATATCGTGATAAAGCCATTCTTCGGCACTGATGAGGCATTTCGACCGAAGTGATACTACAGCTTTACAGGATAGAAGCGTGAATCAACGCCTGGGTTGTGATTGCAGACCTAGTCCTTCATCTTCGCCAAATGGCAGCCACGCTTCCGAAGAAACTTCTGAAGAAACGAAAAGAAGAAAAAAAAAAAAGGATTATATACTATTTTTTTATTTATTTCCACCACTGTACTCCACCATTGTGTCCACCAAAAGTATTGTATACTATTTTTTATACGTTTGGCCACCGTCGAAGATTGTGGAAATTTTTTCTTATGCTTGTTTATCATCCAAATTATAATAAAAAAAAAACCCTACCATTTTTAATTCTCTTATGAACTTTTAAGTGTGGGAGAGCCATGCTTCGGCACGAATGGGCCGGCTCGACCGTAGTGATACCACGGCCGAGCATAAAACTGACGTGAAGCAACGCTTGCGTTGTGTTTCGTCGTGTGAGTGAGGTTACCGGAGGCCCAATTACCCTCCCCTTCCCCAATCTCCCTAATCCCTGAATCCCCAACGATCCTCAAACTCATAATCCCCAAAAAGCCGGTAACGCACTTGTAACACCTCTGGTGTTTCAGGTGTCCATGGACGACGCCGATTGCTTACCATCAGGTGATCCGTCTGCTCGTTTACCGGCTTATGCCATAAAAAAAAGAACTATAGTTATCAATTTCATCTTTCAGCAGACTTATTTTGAATGCGGAGAATCATTCAATATCTTCTCCCGTCCGGGTGACGGCAGAGGGAGTGTCAGCCTCTTACTAATTAACAATCACCCCTATCCTACTCCTGTTCATTTTGAGACTATTAAATCGATTTTTTAGTAGACAACAGACCTTTTTTATATTTCTATATATCGTATTTTGTATCGTTTTTTTTTCTTATATGTAATATCTTCTGATTCACTTCGTTGCGGGAACCAAGGCAGTTGTTCATGTCCCTGGGACGCGCCGGACTTCAGTGTTCCGGTGTTTTCATGGTTGTATCTACTGTAGATCCTGGCTTACAGGAGTTGCAGCGGTTTTGGGCAAGTTGTGGCGGGCTTGTCCCATTTGAAGAGACCTTTTTATATCTTTTTCAGATTTTTAATGGTAGGTACTCTGGATTTGAACCAGTTAAGATTATTTATTTAATAAAAGATAAATTTTCGGACACAAGTAAAGGGATTTGACAGGGAGATGTGATATGAAATAAAACAACATTTTCACTATGCGCTAATTCACTACTAAGCAGCTACTTTATTAATTATTAAAATGGATTACATTATTATTATATTTAAGTTGAGTATTCCTAGATATGAAACAGTGCCTGGAAAGGATTAGCCACTCGTTCAGGCGCGGACCCAAAAGAGGAGGAGATCATAGGACGGGGATGCTATCCTCATGATCCCCTCCGGTTGAGACCGCCCCTGTCCTGGTTATCCGACCAAAAAACACCTTCCACAGTTTATAAATCATTAGCAATATTAAGTACCTTTTATCGGCTAGATTCAATTACGGGGACACTTAATTCTAGATTATAATACTTGAAATACATATAAGATTGAACTGACCTACGGGTGCCATTACGGACACCCGTTTGTTAAGATCCCCATATATAATCCATATATATGGGGGCGCCAGAGCCTCGTTAGTGGGTTAGCAGGGTGTACCACGAGCAGGTGAGGTTGACTTTGACGTGATGGGAGCCACTTACACCCCGTGGGTGGCAGTGGGGGTCATAAGCCACGAGGAAGCCTGTAAGCTGATGCGGATCTTCGACACCGAGTGAATGAATCACCCAAGTCACGCCATTCCTGGAAAATTAAGAAAATATATATGAGAAATTTAGTTTTTTGGGTCCCACCCACCACAAAAAGACGTTACATAGAATATAAAAGAAATGTATTAATAAATTCTATCCACCTTTGTATGGAGATAATACAGCGCTCCATGTCCTAGTTTCGACTCCAAGTACCAGTTCTGCATGACTGCTCGCTGCAGACCAGCCACCTGCCGACACCAGCTAGTGGAACCTCATGATCTCCAAGCTCCTGGAACATTATGAAACAGCGTTATACAGAGTCTATATAAAGTATCTGACTGATTCACTGGTCAAGTCAGTTGGGGTATTTGGTCATTCATCATAACATCATGCCTTTTATCCCAGAAGGTGTAGGTAGAGCACATTACGGCACTTAATGCCACTGTACAATGTAACACCCACTTTCCACTATTTATGTTATGAGCCCCATCTAATAGGGGTTGAACCTATTGCCATAAACCGGGCACAATTTCAGACTCCGTGCCAGCACTGAGAATTTTTCTAAAACCCAGTCATACCTTGCCGAAGGGAATCGAACCCGAGACCCCTTGCCAGCAGTTGCACTTGCGACCACTCGGCCAACGAGGTAATTTTGATGATCTGGTATTTAATTGTATTAAGTAATATTGAGCCCCCTTCTGCAGTCCTGGTCACCATAATTTAAATTAACAAACGGTTATTAAATAAGATATCACAATCAAATGAGACAATAGATCACTTACTATCAGAAATTGGAAACTGTCTTCAGATCTGTAGGGCTGCGGTTACGCCCAATCAGCTCGAAGCACCCTAACGTCACTCCCGGCAGACGGCGCGCGGCGCAATGAGTGCATAAGACAAGTCTAGTTCAGTCTATCTAGCTGCACTGCGCAGGTCATAAAAGAGGATCAATACTTTCATATAAGCTATATTATGCAGTTGTAGTATTTATGACACAGCATAAATCATCAATCCGAAGGTCTATCTGCATAATCGGAAAGGATAAAGATAAAAATGTGATTGAATTATGTGAACAAATTATGGCAACATCAACTGCTAGATTCTAAGGTTCATCAGCTTTTTCACCCTTAGCAGATGCAGGTCGGAGATCACCGATTAAAAGCTTCAAGTTCATCAGAAACCTGCCCCGTCTTCGTCTTATGGCATAGGGCTTTAAAATCTATTAGAAAGGTCACCACAAATGACTCAGAAAACATGCCACTACAAGAAATTGTTCCCTTCACAGTTCGTATCGATTGCTGCAGTTCATTTCCGCGCACTGAACGAGGTGGATTTTCTGCACGCGTCATATCAAGTGGTTAGTGCTCGATTTCTAGAATGTTCTGTCTGCACTGCGCAGGTCACAATTATAATTTGGTGTTTAATATATTGAAATGGAGTTATGTAGTATGTATGCCACTGAATAAATTATGAATCCGAAGTCTTACCTGCATAATCAGAAGGGTATAAAATAAAGAAAATGTTGAATGGGATGATTATGAATGACAGTGAATATAATAGGGATGGCTATGAGAATGCAGGCGACATCAACAGCATCAACTACTATATTGTGGGCTATGAGATACGAGCAAACGGACCACCTGATGGTAAGCAATCGGCGTCGCCCATGGACACCTGGAACACCAGTGGCGTTACTAAGTCTGTTACTGGCCTTTTGGGGATTATGGATTTGAGGAATGTTGGGGATTCCGGGATTGGGGAGATTTGGGAGTAATTGGGCCTCCGGCCTCCGGTAACCTCACTCACAGAGCCTAGTCCCGCGCACTGAGCGAGGTGGACCTTCTGCAGGCGTCATATCAGGTGGTGAGTGCACAAGTTCTAGAATGTTCTGTCTGCACTGCGCAGGTCACAATTGTTATTTGGTATGTTCTATTCTTGTATGTAGTTATTTGTATAAGACTGTTTATATTTTAAAAGAGAAATTCAGAAGGTTCAATTAATGTTAGTAGATGCAATTTTATCAATTATATGTAAATATGTGAAGCAAGCGCGAGATTTAAGGGCTGAAAACTGCTATGCGAATTCTCAACGTAGAAAATTACGATGCGAATTGCTGCGATGCGATATCATGCGACAAGGCGTCTCCCAGGGTGACCATTCCTTCGACGACCGTTAACCGTACTAAACGTATTTTAAATTAAAAATTAGGTTGTGACATGGATCGTAAAAAGAATACACTTCTGTTATTGCGTAGGAGATACAGGAAAAGAACCAAAGAAGATTTTCAGAAGATAAGACTTCGATGCGTGATGCGAATCAATTCGCAAGTTCTTGCGATGCGTAGAGGGAGCTCGCACATTTTGCGATGCGACGTCGTATCGCAGTTTTGTGTACGAGCCCTAATATGATATGATAAGCGCCATCTATGTCTTACAATGGTGCAATGACGCTCTGTGTCTTACAATGGTGTCAAACATGTTGAGCGTCACCTGTTGCGCGTCCATTGCAGCGTAGTGGATACAACTGAGAGATGCGTCAACTGCCCTGTTGAATTTGCTTGTTATTTCACATAGGGTTAGGCAGAGATGTGTCACGTCGTGTGATGACAACAGACCATGAGGCTTATTCTTCAATCCAATTTCGATCGATCGACATTGGTATTGTGAAATTTCGTACTCTTGAGTTACAACACTAGCGCCCATTGCATCCGTATTGCGTGGATATTGAATGAACTAAATGGTATTGAGTTTGTCTTTATATTCCGTACTCTGAATGCTATTTTAACAGCTACGATAAGGATTGTATAGTTGTGACATTGAAATATTATTGAGATTTTATTGGATTGAAATTGCAGTGACATTGAGATAGGTTACAAGAGTAAGCGCCCAGGTGTGTATAACATATGGACGGCGCTAGTCGTTTACCATCAAGAGTTCCTTCTGCTCGTTTGCTGACACAATCCATAAAAGAACAACCCCAAAACACTAGCACCATTGCTACGTTGTATGGCAATGTTAACTTTGTAGTCGTCATTGTGTGCGATGTGGACTTTCTGCATATATCACAATATAGTGCATTAAAAGTTATTCTAGAATGTTCTGCCTACACTGCGCAGGTCACAATTAGTACTTCGGAGGGCGATATATTTGTATGGTCTAATAGTTATATGCCTTTAAACAAATATAGTATGAGAAGATTCACTTGAATATTGAGAAGGGAATACTGATAAAAATGTCTGCGGGAATAAAAGGCGTGATGATGTTATGATTAACATAACATAATAAAAGTGCGACTGTCGGACAAGGGGTCTCGGGTTTGATTCCTGACTCGGGCAAAATATTACTGAATTGTCTGAATATGTGCCCGGTATATGGCAATAGGCTCACCCATGTAATCGATACATGGGACTCATAACATAAATAGTGAAAAGTGGGTGTTGGGCATGGGCATTGTACAGTGGCATTAACTGCCCTAATGTGCACCTCTGCCTAACCCTTCGGGGATAAAGAAGGCGTGATGTTATTAATGTTTTAGTTGCGTCTGTGGTCGCGCTGTGTGCAGCGTGCTCCCGTGCTCTGAGCGACGCGACGTGGACTTTCTGCGTATTGCGTTTTAGTGCATTTAAGTTATTCCAGAATGTTCTGCCTGCACTGCGCAGGTCACAAAGTTACGATCAATACTTTCAAGGGAGATATGTATATTCTTTTTTATAAACATTTGAATGCTTATTTATATTCAGTACCGGATTTACAATCATAGATTTACCCGTTTAGATTCTATTGTACATAACGTGTTACTTTCACGCAGTTTTACGCGTTCTGCTCGGCTCCTACAGATCATAGCGTGATGTTTTATAGCCTATAGCCTTCCTTGATAAATGGGCTATCCAACAAAAAAATTTTTTTTCAGATCGGACCTGTAGTTATTATGATTAGCGCGTTCAAACAAACAAAGTATATAAGATTTAAAATTGTCTAAAATTACATTTTTAAATAGTGCTTAACAAAATAGGAAAATAATGTAACTTTCGTGAGATTTATTTTCCTAAATAAAATATTATGTTTATCAGTAGCAGCGCGACAGTCGCCGCGTCGCGGTTTGCGAAATGCTGCTCATGAATATGAGCCTCTAGCATGGCTTGAAACTAGTCGAGTTCCTCGTCAAATTATTACGTGAGTAAGCCGAAAACAGAAAAAAATATTTAGGAAAATAATATTTAAAAATATAAAAATAGGAGGTGACCAGTAGCGGGAGTATGGTCTAAACTACCGGTATGGTTAGGGCTCCAGAAATAGAAACCTCACGATGTGCGCCGTTTCAAAGACAACTGTCTTCTGTATCAAGCCACCCATCCACCTAACGCCGGCCTCCTAAGGTGGTTGTCGAGGCTATTAGGGATTAACCCATTGGCTGACACGACTGTCCGCGCAATGATATTATTATAATTAGTTAATACATATATATAAACCTTCCTTAAGAATCACTCTATCTATTAAAAAAACCGCATCAAAATCCGTTGCGTAGTTTTAAAGACCTAAGCATACATAGGGACAGACAGACGGCGGATAGCGACTTTGTTTTATACTATGTAGTGTGTATGTAAAAAACGTGGTTCTATTATTATTTACTTTTTTCTACCTATCATGTTATAACGTATATAAACGACATCATCATCATACAAATTCTTGTACAAATCAGACCCAGAACCCTGAAGAACGAAATTTTCGTAAAGCAATACAAGAATTGCGTAGCGCCATCTCTGGGCGTTTGTTTTCTAAATATATGGCACTGTCCTACTCGTATGTATGTTAGTATTTATGTAGCGCCATCTTTTGGTATGCACTCGAACTACTTCGTAACTGATAGTCCCTTGTCAGAATTTGCGTGGCGCCATCTCATGGCACAAGCTCCAATTTCTTCGTATGAGATAGTCACTAGCCAGAATTCGTGAAGCGTCATCTATGGGCGTTTGTTAAAACTTCTTCTAATATGATAGTCATCAGTCAGAATTTGCGTACTTCTGCTGATGCTGGTGGTTTTTCGAAATTTATGTATGTGACAGTCACTAGCCAGAGTTTAGCGTAGCGCCATCTATTTGTATGCACTCGAATTTCTTCGAATATAATGGTTACTAGCAGTAAATTAACTAGCGCCATCTTTTGATCGACGCTTGAATTATTACGTGTTTGATAGTCACAAGTCGGACTTTACGTAGCGTCATCTATGGGTCGAATCTTTTTCTTCATGTAAATCATGTCTTTTAATTATTTTAAAGCATTTGTTGTGAGCCCATTAACTTTCTATAACTATTTCTATAAACTACTGAACGGGCTTTGATGAAAGGTATACAGGCAGGATATGGGTTGACTTAGGAGGCAGGATTTTTTATCCAAATTAAATGCTCTCATGGGATAAAAGGGACGACGCTCGTATACGTAATTATACTTTGATCTTCTGGAATGGGAGAGAAATTAGGAAGAAGGATTATTAAACGAAATGAAACAACATTTTCTAAGCCCTAACACACTACTAAGCTTTATTGAAAGATTTAATGGAATATATTACTAGAGACAAGATTATTTTATCAAGATTGTTACAACTTCAACATATGTTATTGTTATGTACCAATAAATTGTGTTTGTAAGTTTACAAGAAAATATTGCGGTCAGGCGTGGTACCAAATATTTAAGGAAGGAGGGGGTCAAAAGAGCGTTTGGCCCTTGTGATCCCCTCCATTTGAAACCACTCCTGCCCTAATTATTATTAATCTAGCAAAACTGCTCTTTTGGAAAACAATTAAGTTTACCAAAGAACAACGAAATAAATAATGAACTGCTAGATAACCCGATATGAATTGATGTTCGTTCTCATATGGGGGGACGCCAGAGCCTCGTTAGTGGGTTAGCAGGGTGTACCGCGAGCAGGTGAGGTTGACTTTGGCCTGTGAGAAGCCACTTACACCCCGTGGGGAGTAAGTGGGGGTCATAAGTCACGGGGCTCGGAACAGGCTGATGAAAATCTTCGGAATCGACAGGACGAAGGAACCTGGCCATTCTGCTCCTGGAAAAGTAGAAAAAATGATTAGAATTCTCTAAAAAACATCTGTAGACAACGTGTAAAAGGAACCAAATTATTTGACTACCGACCTCGGAATTGAAGGTCCACAACGGCCCTCCATATCCTAGTGTTGACTCCCAGCACCAGATCTGCATGACTGCTTGCGGCTCCAACCACCAGCTAGTAGAACCTCACGATCTCCAGACCCCTGGAATAAGGTAGAATTATGTGTTAAGAAGAATTGATAAATTAGTACACCTTCATGCCAAACAGAAGGTCATGACGTGTGATTTCTTCAAGTGTGGTGTAGCCATGCTTCGGCACGGCTGAGCAGAAAACTGACGTGAAACACCGACTATTTTGTCGTGTGATTGAGGTTACCTAAGACCCAATAACCCCCCACCCCCTTCCACAATCTCCAACAATTCCCAAATTCCTAAACCCCAAAACGCCGATAACGCACTTGTTATGCCCCTGTTGTTCCGGGTGTCCATGGACGGCGCCGATTGCTTACCATCAGGTGAACCGCCTGCTCTTATCCTATAAAAAAATTATATATAAAATCAGATGTACCATTTAAATAATATGAGACCTTACCTTCGTAAACCTGAAGAGGCAGACAGAAATGGAAGGATGCAGTAACAGTTTCGGATCCAAGGGCTAGCAGCACGTCACTCCCGGCGGACGGCGTGTGACGCATTGAGTGCACAATGGAGGTCTAGTCTAGTTCAGTCTAGCTGCACTGCGCAGGTCACGATCAATATTTTGACATAAGCTATACAATGCAGTCGGTATTTATGCCACTGATCAGGCCATCAAACCGAAGGTTGGCTTCCATATACAAAGTTTAGTTTTGAAACCGTGATATTTCTCGGGGGCATGTCACAGAAGTCATAAAGGTTCAATGTAAGAGAAAGTTTCGAACCAATAGTTAAAAATACGGCTATAATAAATCATTTAAGTTCGACAGTATTTCAGAATAAGCGACAGCAAAGTTTCTTATTGGAGTTTTATGGAATTAGGAATAACGTCAATTACGTGTTTGAGTTTATCTGTATTGAGCCGCGTAATAAAGCTAGTTGCAAGACGGCGGCGTGTAGTTCGCACTTACGGATTTCCGTAATTTATAGAAAAATGAAAAATAATGACCTACATTTTTTTTTGAACTCAGACTCGATAGCCGAGTTACCTCCTAGAAAATGACGCAGCTTTAAAACAACACCTTGTATAGAAGGGTGACTGATGAAAAAATGACTCGATTATATAATAAATGGTTTTGAAGTGAATAGAGATGAATGCGAAGGAGTAGTCGAAGAAGCTAATATTATTATTATCGTGACGTGGCACCCACAAATGATTCAAAGAACAAATAAAGCCAAATAATAAGTTTAAACTGCCTCGTTGGCCGAGTAGTCGCAAGTGCGACTGCCGGGCAAGGGGTCTCGGGTTCGATTCCCGTGTCGGGCAAAGTATTACTGGGTTTTTCAAAAATTTCAGTAGTAGCACGGAGTCTGGAAATGTGCCCGGTAAATGGCAATAGGCTCACCCCTTATTACATGGGACTCATTACATAAATAGTGAAAAGTGGGTGTTACATTGTACAGTGGCATTAAGTGTCGAAATGTGCACCTCTGCCTACCCCTACGGGGGGATAAAAAGGCGTGATGTTATGTAATAAGTTTAAACATCGCAGTTTGTGGCGAGTGTAGTCACAAACTGTGTGCTAAACTTTTGTTATATCTGTGGTCGCGCTTTGTGCAGCAAGTTCCCGCGCACTGAACGATGTGGACCTTTTGCAAGCGTCGTATTGAGTGCACAAGTCTAGAATGTTCTGTCTGCACTGCGCAGGTCACAATCAAATATTCGATGTATGATATATTTGGATACAGCTATAGTGTTTGTGCCACTAAACAAAATATAAACAATCAGAAGGTTAACCTGCATACTAGGAAGGAGAATCAACAATAAATTCATAGATAAAATAATTAATATGAGTACAAAAACGTCGTGGTGTCCCGAGGTTCAGAAGTCTGCTTCTCATGCATGAGGGTTCGAAAACGCAAAGCCTCTTCTCACACGGAGAAGGTTTGAGCATTAATTACTACACTTGCTCAATGCGGGTTGGCCATTTCAAACTTATAATTAGAAATTATAAGCCCAGGTTTTCTCACTATGTTTTTCCTTCACCGTTTGTCAGTGGTGTCTAAATAATCTTAGAAAGTATAAATAACTCGGGAAAAGTCACATTGGTACTAGCCGTTGGTAGGCTTCGAACCCGCACCATCATGCATGAGAAGCGGGCCTCTTAAACCTCCGGGCCACCACGACTATATACATGCGCCTAGCCGACCTTAAAAAAATCTATTTACTCCTTTCTTGAAAAACCGTATATTGTAGCCCACCGGAAAACCTTGGCAGGGAGTTCATTCCACAATCGGAGTATATTTTGATTCTTTGATTTTGTTACATACTTCTTTCCAGGTCGACCTAATGAACGCGGTGAATGCGCATATTAGGCGTGTCGACAGGGTAAAAAAATTAAAAAAGTAATTAGTCCGTCATTAAGATCGCACGAAAATATCAGACACGTATTTTTTGTTTTATCAAATTACCAGAAGAATACGTAGTTATTCCGCATTAAAGTTAGGGAGTGGGGGGTGTTGACGTCACACTTACGGAGAAATCGTACCTAAGTGTGACGTCACGCGTCATTTTAACTCAAAATATCTACATGTTTTTTTGGATACGAGAAAAAAGAAAAAATACGTATCGAAGATTTTTAAAATATCTAAAAGACGGACAAAAAATTAAAAAATTGTCGACATGCCTATTGTGACCATTAGCTATGAGGCAGACTGTGCGATAAACTTTGGCCCAAAATCCACAGCCGCGTCAAATTATTGTATGCATGCGCATTGAGCGACGTGGACCTTCTGCAGGCGTCGCATTGAGTGCACGAGTCTAGTTCTAGAATGTTCTGTGTGAGAGTCTGCACTGCGCAGGTCCTGCATCGCGATCAATATTTCGATTTGTGATATATTAGTTATATGCTTTTATTATATAGTTAACTAGCACCCGCCCTGGCTTCGCACGGGTGCAGTATGCGTATTATACATAATTATCAACCTTCCTTAAGAATCACTCTAGGTATCTATTAAAAAAAACGCATCAAAATTGTGAAGTTTCAAAAATCATACATAGGGAGAGACAGACGGCGAATAGCGACTTTGTTTTATACTATGTACCTAGTGATAATAAAAATGCAGGAACAGAAGGATTATTCCTGAAATCTTTTTTTCCGATTCAGTCATCGAAATATGCAATAAAAACAAAATGCACTTCTCCATCTAATAAACACTATTGAACATTTTTAGCAGCTAGTAATTGGACAAATATAACTTTGCATTAGCGCCATCTACTGAGCACGGAATGAACTGTTTAATTTCATGAAACCGCATTAAATCGTGGTGGCGCTACTGTTTACATTTATCGAAAGAGCAAGTTACAGAAAACAAAATAATATAAGTATACAAAACAATAATATACTATATGAAGTTTTAAAGGACCATTGAATTACACTGAATACATAACACAACATCACGCCTTTTGTCCCCGAAGGGGTGGACAGAGGTGCACATTACAGCACTTAACACCACTGTACAATGTAACACCCACTTTTCACTATTTTTGTTATGAGCTATAATGTTAGAAAAATAGTCATCGTGTTTGCAATGAAGAATATTTATTTTATTAGTACTTAATACTTACTCCCACGCTCGACCATGTAACCATAGATGGCGCTGCACAAATCATACATTAAGTAGTCATACGTCAAAAGTTAAGTAGTTAATAGCCCTACTACATAACATAACATCACGCCTTTTTACCCCCGAAGGGGTAGGCAGAGGTGCACATTACGGCACTTAATGCCACTGTATAGTGTGTATTGGAGAATTGTATTGTGAACCGGATTGGAAAAGAGTAACCTATGGAGTTTCTTGCTCGTTCTTCTCCATAGGAATCTACACCTTGGAATGAGCAAATAGCTTCACTTTTAAATTTCTATTCCTGACGTTCAAAAGTGTCTTCCTGGTCTAATTGAAATAAATGATATTTACTTTGACTTTGACTTTGTATAATGTAACACCCACTTTTCACTATTTATGTTATGAATCCCATGTAATAGAGGGTGAGCCTATTGCCATATAGAGGTACCGGGCACAATTCCAGACTCCTTGCTACTACTGAAAAAAACCAGTAATACTTTGCCCGACTCGGGAATCGAACCCGAGACCCCTAGCGCGGCAGTCGTACTTGCGACCACTCGGCTAACGAAACAGTCACATGAATACCTATATAATATTCGTCCGTTTTTGTTAAGTGTGGGAGAGCCATGCTTCGGCACGAATGGGCCGGCTCGACCGTAGTGATACCACGGCCTCACAGAAAACCGACGTGAAGCAACGCTTGCGTTGTGTTTCGTCGTGTGAGTGAGGTTATCGGAGGCACAATTACCCTCCCCTATCCCAATCTCCCCAATTCCTGAATCCCCAACGATCCTCAAACTCCTAATCCCCAAAAGGCCAGTAACGCACTTGTAACGCCTCTGGTGTTCCAGGTGTCCATGGGCGACGCCGATTGCTTACCATCAGGTGATCCGTCTGCTCGTTTACCGACTTGTGCCATAAGAAAAAAGCAAAAGGAGGCGCGACTGTGGCGTCTCCTTGGTATCTAACACATTTTATGCAATCATAGCAGTGTTCGTGTTTCCTCACGCTAAGTAACTCTTAGTTAAGAGATGATTTAGGTGGTAGGTGAGTTCAAATAAAACGCCATGATTTCACTACATCTAATCCTACTTCTACTTTATTGATTCAAAGACAAAATCACTATTACTACCTCTCTACTTTAATATTCAAAAAGATTAACTATGTTAGACTAAATATTGTGAAGTTAAATTTTTTTATTTTAAGAGTTAAATGTTAAAAATTTTGGATGTTTTGTTGACGATGATACATTATTGATATTGATTATATATAATATGTAAAACCGTCTATCGGAGCAGCCATTCGTCCGGCGGCGGTGCAAGTAAAGATGAAGCTCAAGAGACCAGTGAAGTGCTGAAATAAAAGAAGCCAAAGCACTTCTGTGGCACTTTCGACCACCACCACGTTGCACCACCACTGGCCTAGCCACCCCTGACTAACTTAGTACCTAGTACACATAATGACAAAATTTATAATATAGAAACATTAATTGTTTTATAGACATTGTTGATTCATGTTTTATTCTAAAATTATATTGTGTCCAGCACTTGGAGCGAATGATCTAGTTTTCCGCTCAAGTGTGGTAGACGCCAGAGCCTCGTTAGTGGGTTAGCAGGGTGTACCGCGAGCAGGTGAGGTTGACTTTGGCGTGATGGGAGCCACTTACACCCCGTGTGGGGGCAGTGGGTGTCAGTCGCGAGGCTGGTTGAAGCTAGCACAGGCAGGTGACGTAGTCAGGTCTCGCCCCTCCTGGAAATGTTAATATTGGTCATAGTAAAGATAAATAGATATCACAGATTGAGTATTGAAAGTGTTTTATTGGATTCAGCAACCGTTTGCCTAAAGGCTGTAGCTTCGATCTCCGGCCACCTTAAGCACGGGCCTGCGGACGGCGAGCATGGGTGGCTCGTCGCCTGACCAGAAACAGAACCGAGAATATGGCGCGCGCGTCCCGCGCGCATCTCAGAGAGCCATCAGACCACTACTGATGGGGTCCAATAGGGCTGATGCCGATACGGAGCTACGGAGGACTTAAACGGTTGCTGGAGCTCCAGTTCGAAGGGCAGGAGTAGGAACAGGGTGATTTTTAGTCAGTAAGAGTCTGACACTCCCTCCTGGCTTACGCAAGCAGAAGAAGTCATTCGATGATATAGTATTTCTCCCTTAGAAAAATGCTGTAGCTAAATAGCTGTAGACAGATTGTATGTGCATTTTTGTAATATTGCTTGTCTTAAGATTGACGGCGAATTCTTTGTCGTAGATGAAAGATCTTTTGACAAAATAGTAATTGGCTATGTGCAAAGCGAGTAGTGGCGGACAGATTACAACCGCAGCGCCCAACACGGCAGGAATTGGAAACAAATGCGGATGATACAAACCCGGTTATAATTATCATATTCATTTTACAGTAAAACTATTGAATAAATTGCACTTAAATAATGTCAACAATACTATTTTAATCTTTGTTTTTATTTATATTTCCAAAGAAAATTATAATGTTTACATTGTTATTATTTGACAGCTTCCGCAAATGTTGTAAACGCTACGCGTCGCCACCGTCGCGCACATAGCCAATCGGTTTCTCGTCGTGTCAGTGAAACACTTACGCCGAATACTGAAAGGCTACTCGAATTTAAGTCGCGCTTAGGTAAAGTTCTGTAACTAGAAATTCCTTGTAAAATGACAGAGATATCATGATATTTAAGTATAGCGTTAGTAGCTGAAAAGGGATGTCATCGAAAGTGATGGATATAATATGAAATGTTCTGTCGGCGAAATGTCTATAGGTGAAAGACCCTGCTGGGGAAAGGGTAATAAATTAATCATCCTGTCAAGTGAAACAAGTGAATTTCTTTCTGCAAATATCGTCGTCAATTTTATCAAGCGAACGATGAGGCCGACATTTCCTACTCTGAGAAGAAATGCCGAAACAAACTCAGAGGTCTGTCTCTTTTAAAGTCCAGACAGTATTTTTAACTTACCTACATATACTATATATAAAAGACTAGCAGCCCGTCCCGGCTTCGCACGGGGTAGACAATTATTTATTTTTGGAAATTTGGATTGTTGTAGTGACATAACTACTATTGTAGTTGGACATATGCTACCGCGGAGTTTTTTGTAGACATTATGATGTTTTTCAATATTGTTGTACATTATGTTCTATCGCTAATAGTTTCGGCAGCGCATTCGACGAAAGACATTTTAAGACTCATTTTTCTACACCTTCGGTTACATTGTTCAAATTTTACCAAGGTTCCCTAATTTTTTTTTAAATGAAATGTAGCCTATGTCAAATTGGAAGAATGTAGCATTCTATTGGTGAAACAATTTTTTAAATCAGCCCTGTACTTTTTGAACCTATTCATTACAAACATACAAACATACAAAAATAGGTACAAATCTTTCCTCTTTATAATATTATAGTATAGATATAGATAGTATAGATATAGAATTCTGATATAGATTATGTGTGAGAACCGTGCAAGTTCTTTCTGTAGTGGCCTTTTGTGGAAAGAACCACAACAGTTTGAGCGGACCCGCTCTGAAGGCAGTACGCATGTGTCGGTTTACAATCAGCTAAATTAATAGGTGGGGCTGGATGGCTATCGATGAACAGTCTAGTGGCGAATCGGTCTTAGAAGAACGGTTGCTGAATCGTTGTATTGTACTGAACAGAGAAGGGTACAGTCTAAGAATTACTAATGGAAATAAGTACCTTCATTTCAGCTGCTAGAGAGTATTGCAGAGCGCTGGTTGAAGATCCTGCAGCATCAGACATCTTTAGAAACTGGACACCTGCAAACAGTATAGAATTAATGTCACTATGAGCGCTCTCAGTCTTGTCCCTCCAAGACGACAAGTTTTGGTTTGTTGTGTAGTCATGACGGAGTCAGCTTTTACAGATGTCGTAAGAGCCTAGTAGAACTACACATTTGACAGAGACCTGGCAAGAGCGGTCTCTAATACACCCGAACTTTTTAACTGTGATATTCAAATCACCTGCTAAACGTGGACAAAATAACAAATTTCTCGTAGGTAGAGGAGGTTGATGATAAAACCTTTAGTTACCTGAGTCGCGCCTGTCTCCCATGGGGGTAGGCAGAGACTATGGAACGCTATGATTCTTACATACCTCTTACGCTTCATCAATAGTCAACAGTATTTTCATGCATCCTCGTCAGTTAACTTTACTTTTAATTTGGATTTTTTTAATATATCACACATCTGGTCCATGTATGTCCGTATAGGGCGACCTCCACCGACGGCCCCTATGATATCCGCTCTGTATACTTCTTTCGTTACTCTACTTTCATCCATCCTTTCTACATGTCCAAACCAGCGTAACATTCCCTTTTCAATCCTTGTCACTACATCTTTCAATCTACACCTTTCTCTAGTAATACTATTTTCCACTCGATCTCTCAATTTTACTCTGCACATACTTCTCAAGGCTCTCAATGGATATTTTTAATTTTTTAATTTTACTTTTGCACACATTAATGTACAATGTAATGCCTAGGGCATTCTCCTCCAGCCAGACCTTTGGGTGATGCAGAGACAAAAACATGGTCGATGCAAGAAGCAAGCGCATTTAAGATATATGCTGAATCAGGTCCGATATAATGCAACCTGCTCTACTCAAGGCATATGACGTCTTCCAATGCTGGTATCGCACGTTACCTTGATTGTATATTTAATGAACAACTTACCGTCACATCGCCATTTTCACCAAGCAAGATCTTGAAATTCTGAACTGCGTAGTAGAACAATAGCGGCTATGACGCAGTGGTGTCTTGAAGATTGGAGTTGTTCACCATTTAAAAACTGGTCACACGAGAAGACGAATGCTTCATCAGCTCTGCAGGTTGAATCCAAAGGCGGAGCCCTAGGCTCATCACGCAGCGTGACGTGTTCTCGCCCGTTAGACGACGCGTGACGCACTAAGTGCACAAAGGAAGTCTAGTCTAGAACAATCTAACTGCACTGCGCAAGTCACAATCAATACTTTAACGACAGATGAAATTTATTAAATTTTCAACCTTATAGTTTTGCAATACAGTTGAGTTTTATTGAAGAGTTTGGAGTGCTTGAGGTAGCTTGATGAGCTGCTGTCTGTCCTTTGGTCTATACTTTGTTGTATAATTAGCGTGATTTTATGTTTGTGTTTCGGACGATAGATGGCGTTCACTTCAATTTAATTCTTCCTTAATAAAAATTGCTTATGCGGAAGTCAGTTTGTTAATCTTTGCTTCCGCGTAAGTTACAAATAACATAACATCGTAACATCACGCCTTTTTATCGTCGAAGGGGTAGGCAGAGGTGCACATTACAGCACTTAATGCTGCACTGTACAATATAACACCCACTTTTCACTATTTATGTTACGAGTCCCATGTAACGGATGAGGCTATTGCCATATACCGGGCACAATTCTAGACTCCGTGCTACTACTGAGATTTTAGAAACCCAGTAATACTTTGCCCGACCCGGGAATCGAACCCAAGACCCCTTGTCCCCTTGTCTCTCAGCCAACGAGGCAGTGGCGAGTGGTGACAGGGCCTAGCTGTTTCATGCATTTTGAATGGTTCAGCTCGACTGGAAAAGTCAATTAACATCCTCTTCTCTCTCCTGTTACGTTGCTGCATTTCTTCTGATGAATGTGAATTTCAGACTGTCAACCTTCTGTTCTAATATGGTGGTGGACCAGGGGTATAAGACGCTCGCTTCTCACGGAGGAGGGTGCGACCAACAGCAAGTACCAATGTGACTTTTTCCGAGTCACATATATGTATTTTCTAAGATTATCTAGACACCACTGACAAACGGTGAAGGAAAATATAGACAGGAAACCTGGGCTTATAATTCCTAATTATAAGTTTGAAATCCTGACCTGCATTGAGCAAGCGTGGTGGTTAATGCTCAAACCTTCTCCGTCTGAGACTAAGACCAAGGGCCCCTCCCTTGGTCAGTAGTAGCCACTTATAGGCTGTTGATGATGATGAACCTTCTGTTTTCACCGTCATTTTCGGTAGCCTTCCTCCTCGGGCAGAATAGCCCACTCAAATAGTTTACTACATGGCCAGAAACACACTCGTGAGACCTCTGGTATTGCAGATGTTACGCGTTGTCTGCTTACCATCAGGTGGACTCTAAGCATAGTTGCTACTGATTTATTTATTTGAAATCTCAAACAGGGGTCTTACTCTTGAATCCAATTCAGATCGATTGACATTAGTATTGTGACATTTCGTACTCTTGAGTTGCAACACTAGCGCCTATTGCATCCGTATTGCGTTTGGCTTTATATTCCGTACTCTGAATGCTATTTCAATAGAGCTACGATTGTGGTTGTATAGTGTTGACATTGAATAATTGTTGAGAGTTTATTGGATTGAAATTGCATTGACATTGATATTGGTTTCAAGATTAAGTACCCTGGGCTGTCTTTTTTATATTTGATGGGGTTTGCCCTATTACATATACTATCTCGCCTGGTGGTAAGCGATGATGCGGTCTACGATGGAGCACGTCGTCCCATAAGCAACCTATTCACTCGGGCCTTGAAGACAACTAGGTAATTCCCTTCAGGAAATACAGACTCTGGCAAAGAATTCCACTCCTTTGTTCGCACAAGGAAGCTTGATGCGAAGCGCTTCGTGTGTCTGGGTTGGACATCCACCACGGGTTAGACTAAGCTGGAGCCTTCGGGAACACAAGAATTGGAAGCCTTTTTGGAACATTTATTTTTTTAACGTTATCCCACACTATGATTTTCTCTTATGTTGTGGGTACCTATATTTAAAATCATAAAAGGTTCACATACACATGATACCCAGTCCCAAAACAACAATATGTGTATCACATAGTTTTTCGTACGGGAATCGAACTCGCTACACGTTGCGAGGCGGTTGCTACGCGATTGTCCGTCGTAGAAATTGTCGGCCCTTCAGAGCCCTCTGAGGATGGGGGTCCCGCGCACGGGCCCCGAATACCGTTATGGTACAGACGGTACTGCTCCCAACAAAGAAACATACACTTATATGCTAAAATATAATCCACCACACTAACAGAAAAATTGCCTTGTAATCCGTCGATTAAAGGGAATCATGCGAATACATAGAGCAATTGAAATAAATGAAATGAAATTACATCCGGTAATCAACTACATAATCGTAAGACATACTAAATTAATTATTATGTTTTCGGTAACTGTTTGCCGAGGAATTGGACTAGTTTCAAGCTATGCTAGAAGCTCAAATTCATTGGCAGCATTCCGCGACCCGCGACGCGGCGACTGTCACGCTTGACACTGCTATTGGCTGCTCGACTCGATGACGAGGGAACTCCTCAACGGTTAACAGTAGCTACCTTGTGTTTGGGTTTGGTTAATTTGTATTGATGAGGACTTTACACCTAGGTGTAGTGTGGTTGTCAATAAGGGTCTGATGATGAAGTAGTACGATAGTTGAGGGAACTCCTCAGCGGTTAACAGTAGCTATCTTGTGTTTGAGTTTAATTAATTTTGGCACCAATTTCTTACCTATTCGTTTGTTTTTAGTTTTTGAAATCGGTTTTTTTAATCGATTTTTTTTAACTGAGTTTATACAGGTACTTGTAGTATAAACCATATCGCTTTCCGCCATCTCTGTATCCATATGCTCAAATCTTTAAAATTACGCAACTGATTTCGATGCGGCTTTTTCGTAATATGGTGATATAGATTTAAGAGAAAGGTTTGTAGTTATGTACACTTACAGATTTTGACGGGTGCGAAGCCGCGGGCATGACCTAGTGGAATGTAAAAGTAATTCTGTACCTGCACATAGGAGGCTGGAGGGTAATATAGGCTACGTTTTCATCATACATGTAAATCCGCGGGTAACAGCTAGTTGCTAATACTTAGAATCAGAGGCTTAAAAAAGAAGCGATATTGCTAAACAACTTAGTGTTCTGTTCAAGAGATGGCGCTAGTGTACACAATTTTTTAAGGGGGAAAAATCATCGAATGACTGCTCCCGCCTGGGTGAGGCGGGAGGGAGTGTCAGACTCTTACTGACTAAAAACCACCCCGTTCCTTCTCCTGCACGTCGAGTCGGAGCCCCGGTTACCCGTTAGGTTCTGTGCGACTAGTGTACACAATAAGTTTCTTTGGCAGTTCTAAAGGATTTAAACAGTCTTGTGTAAAAATATTTTAGCGCCATCTATTATTAGTGTGGAAAACGTTTTATTCAAAATGAATAGTTCTGATCTTTTCCTATGCTGAAATGCTGAAATCGAGTCTTAGATTTATGGAGATTCGTCTGAATCTTAGTACGTTACTGCTCTTTTTGAGGGGTGAAAATTTCCCAATGACTTCTTCCGACTTGGGTAAGTCAGTGTCACTCTTACTGACTAAAAACCATCCCGTTCCTACTCCTGCTGCTGCTAAGCCTGCTTTTTATTTGTACAAAGCGCTTAAGAGTCAACGTTTTAGTCAAACTCATTTGGACTTCTAAACAGTTGTGACAACTATGTGTCGTAAAGCACTTCTGCCTACCCTTTCGGGTAAAAGGCGTAAAGTTATGTAAAATAAGGACTCTTTTTTAGTCGACCTGGGCATCGAAACCCCGTCATGTTGTGCATTAACTGGAACTTTTAGTTGACTTGGGAATCGAACCCTTTGTGGAATATCCAGTCACCGATCCGCTGATCATATCGTTATGTCAAAGTCATAGCATAAGTGTGAGAGAGCCATGCTTCGGTACGAATTGGCCGGCACGACCGGAGTGATACCACGGCCTCACAGAAAACCGACGTGAAACAACGCTTGCGTTGTGTTTCGTCGTGTGAGTAAGGTTACCGGAGGCCCAATTACCCCCCTACTTTTCTCCCGAATCCCCGAATCCTCCACAATCCTCAAATTCCCAATTCCCAAAAGGCCGGTAACGCACTTGTAACGCCTTGGTGTTTTGGGTGTCCATAGGCGGCGCTGATTGCTTACCATCAGGTGATCCGTCTGCTCGTTTACCGGTTTATGCTATAAAAAAATTGTTTCAATTGATTCTTAATAGGCGCGTATTGACTGACTGAGCAGCCTCACGCGATTGCTGCGGGAAGGTTTCCTCGATGAGTATAATTTTTGAATCGAGGCAGCCCGTGACAAAACGAAAGACTCGCAACGCTCGGCTTCGTCCGCGGCATGATCGAGCGAAGCGGTGCATGTGTTTGCCTCGAGCGAGTCACGTCCTGACTGACCGAGCGTTTGCCTCTCGAGGCAAGCCTTGCGAGACTGTTCAGTCAGTCGATACGGGGCTAATTAGGCACTTTGAAACATCAAAAATGTCAACTTGGGTTAAGTCAAATGAAACACCATAATTTTCACTACTTCTACTTTCTACTGTTTAATTATGTGATTATTCAAAAGCATATTATTATACCAGAAGCTAGAAAAAAGCAGTTAATTAGAAGAGAATTAATTGTAGGGGGTAACGGTGCCATAATTATTAAATACAGCACCGCCACCCAATGGGGCAGCCATCGTCCAGCGGCGGTGCAAGAGAAGATGGAGATCAGAAGACCAGGGAAGTGCCAAAAAGAAAAGAAGCCAACACACTTCTGTGGCACTTTTGACCACCACCAAGTCGCACCACCACTGACCTAGCCACCCGTTGTATTCTAATAAACAACACATAATCATACCTCGTTATTTAAGTTGCATATTTTGATTTAAGTTACACAATAACAGATAATTATTTAATAAGCTTTTGCAGCTTATCAATTTTATTGTTGAGAAATTATGCTTTTTCAAGCAAAGGATTTTTTTTATCAAATGCTTAAAAATAGGCGATAATCGTATAATACACCGATTATATACCGATTTAAACCCCCCATAATGTGGTATAAGCCCCCATATGGGGAGGGGCGCCAGAGCCTCGTTAGTGGGTGAGCAGGGTGTACCGCGAGCAGGTGAGGTTGACTTTGGCGTGATGGGAGCCACTTACACCCCGTGGGAACCCCACGGGGTCATAAGTCACGAGGTAGTACGTAGCAACTGCTGTGATGCAGGCCCTCGGAGCTGAGTGGTTGTCTCAGCCAGGTCGCGTCGCTTCTGGAAAAGGATAGATGACTAATTTTAATTGGGATGATGACAGGGTATGAAAATTAAAAGTACAATTAGTCCGTAAGTTAGGTAACTAAAAAATATTAGACACGTATTTTTTATTTTGTCGTATAATAAAACAATACTTCGATAAAACGAATCAAAGTTTAGGACATAACATAACATCACGCCTTTTATCCCCGAAGGGGTAGACTGAAGTGTACATTACGGCACAATGCCAATGTACAATGAAACACCCACTTTTCACTATTTATGTTATGAGCCCCATGTAATAGGGAGTGAGCCTATTGCCATATAAAGTCAAAGTTTAGGAGTGGGGGCTAAAACGTCATTTCTTAGTATAAAATGTACTGAGAAGTGACGTCACGCGATATTTCAAATCAATATATCTTCGAAACTATTCGTTTCCGTAAGAAAATAAAAAATAAGTGTCTAATGTTTTTAAATAATCTACCAGACGGACATTAAAATAAAAAATAGTCGTCTACCCTATTGTAAGGTCCGTCTAGTGGCTAATTTTAAAATATTAGACCAAGGGCATTGAAAAATGGCGGACATAGTCTCTTGTAACAACGACTGTGGCACCTGGCTACTATAGACTTACACGCAGAATACACACACATTGACACGAAGGACATCTGTCATTTTACTTTAGTCTGGTAGCGTGGCAACACATTACACACGCACACATAAACAATTGACTGATATTTTGGTGCTTCAATCATTTGTAAGTGACATTTTGTTTCGCTTTTCTTTCGGCAACAAATACCTTAGACGATAGATTGGTTTAAAATATCGCGTGACGTCACTTCTAGGGACGTTTCATACTTAGAAATGACGTAGCTAGCATGAGATCTGTCAGATAAAGTTATAACCTGCCAATATGCAATAGAGTGGAGTATGATAGATATAAATAAAAAATGTACAGAAAAAGAGGCATACAATACAAGATAAAAAATACATTTTTAAGTTTCATTTATGAAAATTCCTAATATCAACTTTGCTCTCCTTAAATGACATGGTTACGATAGGAAGTCACAGCATATGAAACAAGTAGGCGTAAGCGTGTCGCGGAGAACCTAACGGGTTACCGGGGCTCCGGCTCGACGTGCAGAAGAAGGAACGGGCTGGTATTTAGTCAGTAAGAGTCTGACACTCCCTCCCGCCACACCCAGGCGGGAGCAGTCATTCGATGATTTTCGCCCTTAAAAAAAAGGCGTTAGCGTGGTGTTCCACGCACGCTACTCGAAGAAGGGAAGCAGCCTCCTAGGGCCGCTAAGGTGGCGGGACCTGCTGCAAACATGCGTGCGTCCTGCCGGGTGTGGTGATTCGGTAAGGGCAACCCGGGTCACGGTCACAGGCAGTCGAAGAACACCGCGGTGGTTTTAGCCGGTAAGAGTGCTCCGGTACGAGCCCCCCCCCCCCGTCCCTACGACATGGGAAGTCCATGAGGATTTCCAACAACAATCGTTACTTTTTTGGTCACGTACCTTCATGTCAGCTGCTGTATGTATAACCAGAGCGCAGGGCTAAGATCTTGCAGCACTAGACGCCTTCAGACATCAGACACCTGCGAGTAATACAGAATTACTTGTCACTAGGCTGTTATACCAAGAGGGTGAATCTCTGATAGAATCTGATGATGTTCAAAACCTAGCCGCCGAAGGATTGTGATGGTGATGTCCTAAACGTATGACCAGACACCGAGAGATGGGCAAAACAAAATATTATTCTTTTAAATCTTGTCATACGTACCCAATCTCTCTATAAAATAAATCCAACAATCCTGAATTCGTAATCCCCAAAATGCCGGTAACGCACTTCTGCTCTGGGGTTTCGGGTGTCCATGGGCGGCGCCGATTGCTTACTATCAGGTGATACGTAGACTCATTTATCGGATTATTCCTTTAATAAAGGATAGCGGCGCGCGTTATTTTGATGTAAAATGCCCTACCAGAGTTGTGGATAGCCTAGCAGCATACCGGGACTCCGGCTCAAAGCAGGAGTAGGTAGGGGTGGTGTTGTCAGTAAGAGTCGCCCCAACGCTCTTTAAATTCCTCTGATATTGCGACTGACTGCTCACCATCAGGTTAAGTCTCTCTTTTCCCATAAAAAATAAAAAACTTGCCGTCACGCCGCATAAGGACAGGTCTTCAGAGGAGTCCAATATGCAGTGATCGCTCCAGTGTAGCCACTGCATCAATGCAACGTGGTGGTGTCTTCTAGAAGTAACTGTTCAGGTTACCACGTCTGAACTCGACCAGATGCTGCAAGCACCTTAAGCCTGTAACAATGAATTTTAAAAGATTCATTCTACGGTCTGAACGGTTTCATTACGTTAGATTAGGGGTCATTCAGATCTGTGTGCGCGGGCGCCGCCCGGCAGGAGAAGGAGCCCGGCGTTTCGTTAAGCCGGGCTGGCGCAGGGCGAGTTTCGAACGCAGTGCGAAAGTACAGTTCTCGTGGCCCGCCCTCATGCGAGAGTGGCACACCCCGGGGTTTTTAGTGGGTTCGAGCCCCTCATAGCCTCGCAGGGCCGAGGCCGGGTATGCACAGCATTTTTCCCGGGCGGAAAAAAATTAAAAAAGGGGTCATTCAGATCTACACCCGCACCCTTACCCACACCCATTCCCACGGATAGGGCCCAACAGGGCCGATGACGATTCGGAGTCGCGGAGAACCTAACGGGTTACCGGGGGGCTCTGGCTCGACGTGTAGGAGAAGGAACGGGGTGGTTTTAAGTCAGTAAGAGTCTGACACTCCCTTCCGCCTCACCCAGGCGGGAGCAGTAATTCGATGATTTTCCCCTCTTAAAAAAACCTATTCCCATACCCATACCCTTACCCGCTCCCTCACTCCCTACCGTAGCCGCACCCGCAACTATAGCCGCACCTGCAACCGCTCCCGCTACCGCAGCCCCATCCTCACCTGCACCCGCATCCGCTACCGTAGCCGCAACCGCAACCGTACCCGCTACCGTAGTCGCACACGCACGCTGCGGTACCCACACCCGCTACTGCAGCTGCATCCTCACCCGCAACCCCACACGCTACCGTAGCCGCACCTTTACCCGCACCCTCACCCTCATCCGCACCTTTACCCGCACCCTCATCCAGTACCGCATCCTCACTCGCACCCGCTCCCGCTACCGTAGCTACACCCGCTCCCGCTACCGTAGCTACACCCGCTCCCGCTACCGTAGCCGCACCCTCACCCGCACCCTCATCCGCTACTGCACACTCACCCGCACCCTCATCCGCTACCGCACCCTCACCCGCACCCTCATCCGCTACCACACCCTCACCCGCACCCTCATCCGCTACCACACCCTCACCCGCACCCTCATCCTCTACCGCATTCTCACCCGCACCCTCATCCGCTACCTCACCCGCTCCCGCTAACGTTGCCGCACCCGCTCCCTCTACCGTAGCCGCACCCGCTCCCGCTACCGTAGCCGAACCCTCAACCGCACCCTCATCCGCTACCGCATCCTCACCCGCACCCTCATCCTCTACCGCATTCTCACCCGCACCCTCATCCGCTACCTCACCCGCTCCCGCTAACGTTGCCGCACCCGCTCCCTCTACCGTAGCCGCACCCGCTCCCGCTACCGTAGCCGAACCCTCAACCGCACCCTCATCCGCTACCGCATCCTCACCCGCACCCTCATCCTCTACCGCATTCTCACCCGCACCCTCATCCGCTACCTCACCCGCTCCCGCTAACGTTGCCGCACCCGCTCCCTCTACCGTAGCCGCACCCGCTCCCGCTACCGTAGCCGAACCCTCAACCGCACCCTCATCCGCTACCGCATCCTCACCCGCACCCTCATCCTCTACCGCATTCTCACCCGCACCCTCATCCGCTACCTCACCCGCTCCCGCTAACGTTGCCGCACCCGCTCCCTCTACCGTAGCCGCACCCGCTCCCGCTACCGTAGCCGAACCCTCAACCGCACCCTCATCCGCTACCGCATCCTCACCCGCACCCTCATCCTCTACCGCACTCTCACCCGCACCCTCATCCGCTACCGCACCCTCACCCTCATCCGCTACCACACCCTCACCCTCATCCGCTACTACACCATCACCCGCATCCTCATCCGCTCCCGCTACCGTAGCCAACCCGCACCATCACCCGCATCCTCATCCGGTACCGCATCCTCACCCGCAATCCGCAACCGCACCCACTATCGCACCCGCTACCGCAGCCGCATCCTCACCCTCACCCACATCCGCATCCTCTACAGTAGCCGCACCCGCACCCGCAACCGCACCATCACCCCCACCCACTACCGCAGCCGCACCCGCACCCGCTACTGCAGCAGCGCGCGCACGCGGCTCGCACCCTCATCCGCTACCGCAGCCACACCCGCGCCCGCAATCGCAACCGCAATCGCACTCGTTACCGCACCCGCTACCGTAGCCGCACCCGCACCCATACCCGCTCCCGGCCCGCACCCTCATCTTGCACCGCAGCGGCACCTGAACCCATTCCCATTCCCACTCAACACAATACAATACACCCTATACCCCACATATAGTCTCACCCTACGTCACTAAGTTACCCCGTACCCTTACCACACGCCCTTACCCTTACCCTATAGCCTTGCCATTTTTCTTTACCCTGGACCATTACCCTATACTTTTAGCCCTGCCCATTCCTTTACCCAGTGCCCTTAGCAAGTGCTCTTACCCCGTACCTCTTACCCATATACACGCACAGTTAATAGAAATTTGCAAATATCAGTATATCTATTTCTATTTGCACTGTTTAATGCCGAAACTACTACAATGTCGCAATGCAGTAAATTCATCGATCGTTGACCACGCCCAGTATGATATGAACCCCCCCTCTCTTTACCCCTTACCCCTGTCCCCCACTACCCAAATTCTTTAACACCTAGAAAAAATAACTTTCTCCCCAAAAATGCTATTTTGCAATATGATAATCACCGCATTAGACTAGAATCTAATAATCTTGGTCGCATTAGCCACGCGAGATTCGCTGCAGTATCACAGAAAACTCAAGAAATTAACGCTGATGATGGAAAGGAAGGCAAGGATCCTCATTGCTTACCTGCTTAGTCAGCCCTGACGCTTGAAGAAGAGGGCGAAGCCCTGGCGCCGCGAAGTGACGCGAAGGAGCGACGCGTCCCGACCGTTTGGTGGCGCGCAACGCACTGAGTGCACAAGGAAAGTCTAGTCTAGTTCAATCTAGCTGCTCTGCGCAGGTCATAAAATACGATCAATAATTTGAGGGTGCAATTATTTGATGAGTCGGTTGTGACACCGTAATGTAGATGGTTACGTAATATAATATTGCGCCTTTTAATCCCCAAAGGGGTAGATATATGGGCGTATTGATAATAACAAAACAAAATCTTCACATTCTTTCATTAACTAAAAGTCCGAACAAATAAGGTGACAATGGCAAGACGATTTTGAACAAGTATAACCACTGCATCACGTTGTCCCGACAAGTTACTGATGACTTAGTGAACTAGTGATCTGACAGTACAACAGCAAATCATCCGCAAACAAATGACGCAAGATAGGAAATAAAAATGGTGACAGAATACCGCCCTGTGGAACACTAATACAATAATCATTGAAAACCAATTTCACTCTAATATATTACCATCAAACGGGATTGACTGCATGCGTTATTATGAACACATGAACTAAATTAATAATGATGCCCAGAGACCGTATTGGCTGCAGGTCTGCAGACAGGTTGGCTACAGGTCTCTCTTTTTACTGATATCCATTAAAGGCTTTACAGAAGTCAATGAAACGTCCGCCAATTTTCAGCAGAAAGAGGAAAGCTTTGAACTGTCAAACACCGCGGGGACACCAGTAACCGCAACCTTTTGTCCTTTAATTGTGTCTATAATGACGGTACTCAAAGGGTTCAAGAAAGAAAGTAATGTTTAGCAATATATGCCACTCCTAAGATACCTATTTTGTTGCCTACCCTTCTAGAAATCTAAGAGCGTGATGATATGTGACCCTAAATTACAATGTACATCCCTTCAACCCTCTTTGTGCGAATGCAGTACAATGCAGAATTGATGCAGAGGGATCACAAAATTATACTTAATAAAATATTTATTGTATATCAAAATACCACCGTACGTTTATCATTGGACAGTGAACCTCGCTACCATCAGTTGACTGGGCATCTACACTACACGAGTCACTGTTTACATGTGAACATTAGCTCATGACTATACCAGCGTATGTGTGTCACTGGACAATGCACCTCGCTACCAACAGTTGACTGGACATCTACACTACAAGAATCACTGTTTACATATAAACATTAGCTCATGACGTACGTGTGTCACTGGACAGTGAACCTCACATATCATCGAATCTTACCCCTTTGCTAGAGTAACATGTAAATCTATTTTCATTCATGAACTGAGCAACATAGACCTTCTGCAGGCATCGTATTGAGTGCAAAAGTCTAGAATGTTCTGTCTGCACTGCGCAGGTCACAATTATTAGTTGGTGTGATATATTTGTATGCAGTTATTGGTATAGTATTCATGTTATCAAAAACAGAT